GCCTCCCATGAAGAGGGAAAAGCTTGCCTGAGGCCTTCTGGTGAAGCTCCAGAGATCCTGGACTCCTGACCTCCAGCTTTAGCTGCCTCATTTAGCCCAGCCCAGCCCCAGTCAGAGAGTTCCCAAGCATTAGTGGCAGGTGTTGGGAGTCAGGGTAGGTGGAAGATCTCGGTAGTGTAGGCCACCATCTCAGAGGACACCAGTTTCCGCTTCCATGCTGGGCAATCTAGGTCAGCATCCTCCCTCCCAGCCAAGCCTCTTCCCTCCCTCTGAGGTGCGAGCTTGTTATAGGCACTGAGGCTATTGTTAGAAACCCTGGTCACCCCCCCACCTTTGCATGTTCACCTGAAGCGCCCAGAACCCCAGTGACCCATCCCAGAAGTCTTCATTCCTTTGGCAGCTTGGAGTGGTGGGAGGAGGGCTGGAGGCAGGAGGGCAGGCCTGGGTAGCTGTGTGACACCTAATGAGCCTCCTCCCCTTGTGGGCCTCTATTTCTCTCAGAATTGAGGTTTGGGATGACACAGAGGGGTGGGCCTAGGGAATAGGGCTGCACCTCTCTATGGGGCCCAGGACGGGACCCTGCATGACAACTCAGTTCAGTTACCACCAGACGGTACCTGGGATACACTCACAGCAGCCACTCCCTCAGGCCTGCGGTTGCTGTCCACCATGTGGCCACTTGTTACTGAGACACAGGGAGAAGTTTGTTCTTTCCACAGGAGAAAACAAGTCCTCAGGAGGGAACTCACCCAGGCCCCCAGAGGAGACATGGCAGAAACTACAGTTTTTGGTCTCTCCCCAAGACTGAGAAATCAACTCTTTATTTTGAGAACTGGGAAAGAGGGAAGGAAAGGAAACAACATATGCTGAGTACCTGCTGTGTGCAGCTATGGACATCATCTCTCCTGACCCGCAAGACCCCCCCAGGATCTGGCAGTTATTGACACAGATGAGGAAATTGAGGCTCAGAGCAAAGAAGGCACTTTACCCAAAGTGGAATCGTCATTCTGCCTTTGCACGGTGGTCGAGACACAGCAGAAGGAAGTGGGAGTGGAGCCTCCCCCAAGTGCCATCCGGGGCATAAACAGTGGGCTTCCCAGGCTGCTCACCCAGCAAGCTTTGCAGGGTCCTAGAAATGAAGGTACTCAACCGCCACAGTCAGAACCAGTATCATAGATGGGGATTGTAATGAGGTATAAAGAGCAAGACAAATATTTGCACAGTGCAGCAGCCTTGCAGGTGGCCTGTGGCCCCAGCCCACAGTGGGATACACAAGTGTTTAGCAACCTCTCTGAGCAACAGCCAGGCTTGGTCACACCTGGGTCCACACCATCTGGGGTACCCTCCTAGCCTGAATTGATGCCCCCCTAACTCTGCAGAAACCTCAGATTTGCCATGTCGGTATCTTTGGCTTTGCAGTGTCTGAGAGGTAGCCGCAGTGCCCCTCCCTGCCACCCAAATGCCCATCATCCTCCCCCTACCAGCCTCCCACCTCCCAGCATTTGTATCCTTCAGCGCAGTACCAGGCACCACCCCCAACATGCTTTCTGTATGGTATATCAGTCTGCCTGCTTGCAGAAAAAGGCACCTTCTTTCTTCCAGCAAAGGCAAAGACAGGTCCCCTATGGGCTGTACCTGCCCAGAGTGGGGCCTTTTCAAATGTCACTGTCTACACTGCGGCAGCCCTCATCCCCATCATCCCCCCATCACCTTTGTCACTGAGCACTTCTCAGTTCCCGAGACCCTACCACGTGCTTTACCATATTCATTGCTTAGATCACAATAAAGGCCAAATTAGACAAGGACCTGATCTTGGAAGATAATTAGTTACAAGAAAAGAAAAACATAGGTAAGAAGAAGAAAAGACATTGCAGAAAAGTGTGCCAACCTTGATACACAGAGTGTCAAGCATGGTTCACAGAAAAAAGCAGTTACTGTGGGCATTGGTCACCTGAGATCCTTTCTAAAAGTGGTCCAAGGCTTCCTTTTAGTTCCTATATAGTACCCAGCTCAGGCTCTTGTACAAAACACCACAGAGTGGGGGTCTTAAACTACAAATATTTATTTCACACAGTTCTGGAGCTGGAAGGATGAGATCAGGGTGCCAGCATGGTTGGGTTCTGGAAAGAGCCTGCTCCCTGGTTTGTAGATCATCTCTGTCATGTATCCTTCTATAAGGGCACTAATCCCATTTATGGGAGCTCCACCCTCATGGTCTAATCACCTCTCAGAGGCCCTACCTCCTAATACTATCATATTGGGGATTAGGGCTTTATCATACGAATTTTAGGGTAACATAAACATTCAGTCCATAGCTCAGAAATGAAGGAAATTAATAACGCAGAGCCTACCCATGTATGTGTCTAGGGCCCAGAGCTCTTTCTTAGCCACATCAGTTTCTCCAGGAACCTCAAGAAGTGACAGGCAGATATTTAGCTTCTCTTAGTTGAGGGGAAGCTGAGATGTGGTAGAAAGTGAGGGCAGGTGCTGGCCATCTCTCAGACTGAGTGGTCCGATGTCACTGGCCCTCCTCATGGTTGGTCCCATGTCACTGGAGCCAGCTGATGGCATCCTTGTCAACCAAGACTTTGAAAAGCTCATGACTTGCTCAAGATCGTAGAGCTATTGTGTCCACCTAAGTGCTAAAGAGACAGAAGTGGGGTCTTCCCTCAAAGCCAGAGTTTGGTGCTGGTACTCAGGAGCTGCTGTGAAATTGGGAGGAGAGGCTGGGGGAGCCTCTGGGGTTCAGGATCCGGGCCCTGGGGCATGGCCAGCACCAGAATGTAGGCCAGAGACACCAGCATCATCCTCGAGTATATTCTGCATCCCAGACACAGGCCCCAGTCCCCACTGAACCCTGGCTTCTATCCCAAAGTGCCCTGCCTGGTCTCTAGTGCCCACCACTCCTTATACTGAGATGTAAAGCTTAACCAAGAACTGGCCTACTGAGAGCCCTGGGGCTGGTTCCTGTGCCCCAGTGGGGCTAAGCTGCAGGGCACAGTGTTCTGTCTATAGCATCACAATGTCTACTGGGATGTTTGAGGCCAGATGCTGAGGAGTCTCACCTGGCCCTGGATCCAGCTTGCCCTGTGAATCTGGCCACATCACCTGACCACTTTGGGTTTAAGTTGTTTTATCTGCAAAATGGAACTACTGAAAACCACCTTTCTCTCACTGGGCCAATCTGATAATCTGCAGGCAGCCCTGGTTCGTATCTGCCTCCACTGCCAATATAACCGTGGTCAAGTCCTTTGCTTCTCTGAGCAAAGTGTAAAATGAATTAACAATATGTTCAGCAAAGTTTGTTATGAGTTTAAGTGAGAGAATGATTGTGATGTTATTGTACCTTTGTCACTGGGCCATGGAGGGTGATGAGACAAGTTGGAGCTTCCAGCCTCCATGAACCTTTCCAAGGTCCATTTCATCCTGAAGACTTCACAGCATTGCTGCTGCGGCATCCAGAGTCCTGCTACTAAGGGTGGGCACAGGACAGCATGCCCTGTGGGTGACGGAAAAGTAGTGTCCATCTTTGGTTGTTCAAAACCTAGACCCAGGCTAAGCCCACATTTCAATTAATATTATATGTATAATTTAATTCTTTTGACAACCCATTCAGGTAAGAGAAATATCTAGGGTCTGTTTCTTTGAGCCTCAGTTTCCCTATCTGAAATGGGCTTAAACTAGTTCTTAAACTTACAGGCATTTCACAAGTCTGTAATTTCTAGGAAGGCTGCTTTACCTGGGAATAGTATGGAGGTACCAGAGCTAGGAGTGGGGTCACACTCCAGAGTCTCTCAGGCTAGAGGCAAGGCCAGAACTTCCAGAGACCTCCCTCTAGACTTCCTTCCATCTCTTCATCCCCTCACTGCCTAGTCACCATGGTGCTCTCTGCTGAAACTGGACCAAGAGGTAGCACTGGGAGAAGGGCGGTGGGATGTGGATACTGGGGTGTGCCCACCCTTGGCCCTGCCCAGCCATACTTCAACTTCTCATTTGGAGCCACAGTGCTAGAGACGTTCTGGTGGCAGTCTCTAGCCAGGGTTGAGAGTGCTATACTTTATTAACCTGTATAGGAGAGTGTTACTACTAGTATCTATTAACTAATCATAAACATTAATTATTAATAACAATGTATCAATTAATGATGGTTTGTAATTTATTGAACACTTCTACACCCAGTACTGAACACTTTATATGTATAATTTAAAGTGTTGTCAACCCACTCAGGTAAGAATTTTTATAGCCATTTTCCAGATGAGAAAACATAACCAAAAAGGTTCAGGGACTTTCTGAAGGTCACACAGCTGGGGATTAGGTAAGAAGAGGGCCTGGGATCAAAGTCCGGCTGAACTTGGAGCCTGTGTGCCCCGCTGCTCCCTTGCAGTTCCATGGCTGCCTTAGGCAGAGCCTACTGGCCCTGAGGGAGTTCTAAGGGTCTGGTGACTGATTTAGGGAAACACCATGCCCCTGTCATGACTATGGACTGTGGTCCCGAGGAGCCTCAGGCTGGCTGGCTCTTCTCCCTGTTGTCTTCACGGCCTAGACAAGCTGATAAAGTAATTTCTCTGCCCACTTCAGGGCTGTATGGCGCCCCAGGTGCCCTCCCTCCCTCCAGGTCTGGGAACCCCAGGCTCCCTTTCTCCTCCCAGTCTGTCCAGTTTGGTCTGTAGGCAAATCCCCAGGCCCCCAGGGTAGGAGAAGCCGCTTTGAAAGAGGTGAGAGACCCTGGACGGCTGGACTTCCATGGAAGACCCCCCAATACACCTGCACAGATCCCAGGAGGCATCATTCTGGGGCCCTGCAGCCTGCATTCTGCTTCTTTCAGGGCCTGGCCTGCCACCTTCCCACTCTATCGATAGCCTGGACCTGAACTGAGCTGGGCGTCCTGCCATGAGTGTGCAGAGCACTGCCACAAGGAGCTGCAGGGTCTGGCTGGGAGGGGATGTCCTCCCCTCCTGATATTCACTTACTTGGGCAAATGTCTTCACCTCTGCCGACAGATCTTCCACATGACCTACGACCTAGCCAGCGCTGTGGTGCGCATCGTGAACCTCATCGGCATGATGCTCCTGCTCTGCCACTGGGATGGCTGCCTGCAGTTCCTGGTCCCCATGCTGCAGGACTTCCCCGATGACTGCTGGGTGTCCATCAACAACATGGTGGTGAGCACCCAACCAGGCCCTGGGTGCGGGCAGAGGGGGCCGATGAAGCACAGAGGGCAGAGTAGGTCCCCAACTTGGAACTCCTGAGTTCCAACATGTAGGACGCTGAGGTGTCATCCGGGCACCCAAAGGCACATGGTTTTACCCGGTACAGGTCTGTCACAGAGCTCATGGCCGCACGTTGCTACCTCTGCCTTCTTACAGGCTCACTGCAGTTGGGAGCCTGGATATTTGGGTCTGATTTCACCCAGGGAAACTAAGACCTGGGCTCCTTGGATTCTATCAAGTATGGCAGAGCTGGGCTGGTGGCTCCTGCACTCCTGCCTCTGTTTGCCAAGTCCAAAAAAAGAGAACCCTGTGAGAGACACTGTTGGTAGCAGGCATAGACTCCCAGATCACACACAGTAGCTACTTTCTGCTCCAGCAGGAGAGCTGGACTGTTGCCCTACTCCTGTCACTCCATCATCCCCAGCCCACATACACACACATCCTGGTCACAGGTGGGGTCCTGAGTGGGGAGAGCATACCAGATTGAGCCTGATCCCTTCCAAACCTGTAGGTGGCTAAGAGAAGTTGGAATTGGGGCTAAGGAAGCCATAGGGCAGAGTCCTCAGCCCCCCCTAGACAGGGTAGGCTCCAGAAGGGATGTAGGGCCACCGGGACCTGTGAGCATTTTTCTGGGTCTAGGAACCCCAGGATTCCCTCCTTCTCCCAGTTAGTTTGGTTTGGTCTGTAGGCAGATCCCCAGGGCCCCAGGGTAGGAGAAACCAGCTTTGAAAGAGGTGAAAAAGACCTCGAGGTATCTTTCAGCATCAAATAGGCCTTTACAAAATAGCTTTTTGATGAGCTAAGTGTAAATGAATCAGCTATATGGATTGAATTTCCATGTCCCCAGGGGCAGAGCAGTAAGGGCAGAAGCCCTGATGGGAGGCAGCTGGGGGTCACCCCTGTTCTCCAGCCCCCAGGCCTCCTCCACCCCTGGAGATCAGCTCCCCAGACCTCTCACCCTGATTTGGACTGAGAGCCATACCAGCTCAGCTCTGTCCAGTATGGTCTCAGTGACCTTGAACAAGGCACACAGCTCCTGTGCCTTCTCCTTTAGGTGCTGAGAACAACCTGGTGACCCTGGAAGTGCTTGAGGCTCTGGGCAAGGCTTCTGTGGGTCATGCTGTAGGGTGGGTTCCACATCACTGCTAACACACTCATTGTGTAAGCAGAGAGGCACGGGTTCATCTGGTGACTTCATCTGGGACAGTTTCCTCCATGTGAGGGTAACAGGCCCACACATGCACTAAATTCAAGAGATGGCCCTTCTGAGCCCAGTGTTCCCACACTGAGGCTTCCTTGACACACCGACTAGCTTTGGAGACAGAAATAGCCAGTTGCCTTCCTCCTCTCGCCCTCCTACCACCCCCAAGCATTGTGTGTTCCAGATAGTCCACCTTTTGTAAGGAGAGGATAACTGGTGGCCGCAGCCCTAGACAGATGCAGGCAGGGTTCATGAAGGAAGCAAGTCAGCTCTGCAGCACGTTAGATTTTGCTCACCCAAAATGAGGACAGCGTTTTTGGCTCAGTCTGAGAGCTTGTTCCCCCAAGGGAAGTATATCTGCTTTTATAATTGAGGTCAGTGGGGAAATGGGCTTTACTTGGCAGTAGTTTGGGGTGGAGGGATGGAGCTATTTTTAGCAAGCAGAGGACAGCAGGGTGGCTCAGCCTGAAGCTTTTGCTGCTCAAGAGGCCCAGGTTGCCTTGTGCAGGCTGAGAGGTCAGATGGGAGCTATTCCAGCTCCTATCCCTTTGCTGGGGCTTCCCATCTAATCCCTGTCCCCCCCTGCAAGAGAAAGACCTAAGTGAGGAATTTACTTGGTCACTAGGTGACCATTGTGGGCCTCTCTAAGGCTTTCAGCCACAGGCAAGGTGGGAGCCCTGGGCTCAGCAGCTGGAAAGAGGTTGAGGGGTGGAGGTGGTGGGGACTTTTCTAGGTGCTGGTGAGAAGGCCTGCCCTCTCACAGGTGTGAGCCTTCACTACCACCCCAGCATGTGTCTGTCTACCTGTGCACATATCCGCAGAACAACTCCTGGGGAAAGCAGTATTCCTACGCCCTGTTCAAGGCCATGAGCCATATGCTGTGCATCGGGTACGGACGGCAGGCGCCCGTGGGCATGTCCGACGTGTGGCTCACCATGCTCAGCATGATTGTGGGCGCCACCTGCTACGCCATGTTCATTGGCCACGCCACCGCCCTCATCCAGTCCCTGGACTCCTCCCGACGCCAGTACCAGGAGAAGGTAGGGCAGAAAGCTGTGGTCCACCCTGGGTTATCTCAGGAGAACTTGCGAGTTGGTCCCTAAGGAGCACAGGCTCCAGCCAGTGGGTCCCCAACAAGCCCCCATGTGCCCAGCCTGCTACCATCATCTGGCTTCAGCTGCTATCTTTTCTGTTGCAGCCTCTTTTTCATTCTTTTTTATATTTTTCTAAAATAAAAATCCCAGATTGTTTATAGGTACTGAATCCGTATCTCAGCCAAGTGAATCTGAGTTCACCAGTGACCTCTATGTGGCTAAAGCCAGTAGGTCCTTTTGGGTCCGCATCTGGTCAGAACCTCGGGGCATTTCATTTGATAGCTTTCACTCCCTCCTTGGTTTACACCTGGTTTCTGTGACCGCACACTCTCCGCTTTCCTCCTCCTCACAAGCCGGTCCTCCTTGCTCTCCTTGGCTGCTTGTCTCTTCAGTCTTCACACTTCGTGTCCCTGGTGGTTTGGGCTTAGCTCTCTGCTTTTCTGTGTCTCCTGTCTGCTTGGGTGCTACTGGTTTACCACCCCATCCCCATGCTCCTTGTCCATCTCTCTGCAGCAGGGTCATAATGATATACTCAGCCTCCACCTCTTTCCTCAGCCCCGGACCGTCTATTTGATGCTTCCCTGGACACCTCAACCTCATCACATCTAAGATGAGAAAAGTCTCCCTTGCTTTCTCTGCTCTACTCTTCCCATCCTGTTAGTGGACACAGTAGCACAGATGCCCAGGTCAGAAAGTAGGAGCCATCCTTGATTTCTCTTAGTCATTAATGCCACCTCGCTTCCCATCATCCTAGCTGGCCTCCGCCTGGATCACTATAGCAGCTTCCTAAGCAAATGGCTGTGCTGGAGTAAGGAAGGCTGCCTGGGTTCTAAACCCAACTTTTCCCCATTGACGAATTCTCCATTGAGCACGGGCATATAACATCACATCTCTAAGTTTCATTTGCTTGTCTGTAAAATGGGGACAGTACGAGGGGTTATATCATGGTGTTTGTGAGGAGTGACCCTACAGAGTAAGCCATTCAATATTTATTAGCTAAATGGGCTCCCCTTTGCCCCCTTCCACTTCATTCTCCAGACAGCAGATAGCACTGGCATTTAAAACATATAAATCTGATCATATCACCGCTTAGGGCCTTTATGTTACTCCAAGATGCAGATTACTCCAAAGTGTGTTTTCTTAGCCTGGCATGTAGGGCCCTTCCTTTTTCATGTTCAGAACACACCATGGGCCCTATAGCCCTCTATTCCAGCCTTACCAGGCCTCTCTGTATGTTCCTCGCTGCCTCAGAGCCTTGGCACAGACTCAAGCCTGAAACTCTCCTCTCTCTTTTCACCTGATGCCTTCTCCACATCTCAGCCTAAACATCACCTCCTAGTGAAGCCTTCCATGACCCAGTCAGCCTCCACCCATCATGCGACCCAGTGGCACCTTCAAGTTCTCCATCACACTTTGCACTTCTGTCATTATTTTATTAATCACATGTAGCCAGTTGTTTAATATCCATCTTCCCTATCCAGGCCATGGCTCCATGAGGGCAGGCCAGGTCCCATGGATCCCCAGTGTCTGGCACATAGTATGGTTCAGTACGTACTGATTAACTGCCTGCCTCAGGTACCATCCCCTGATGGGGTAACTGAGAGATGGCGGCCCAGGTCCTGTGACACCAAGAGGAAAGCCTAGGAGAGCCTGAAGAGCTAGAGTAGGGTGGGAAGGTCATTTCGGGGAGGCAGAGGAAGGAGGAGGTAGGAGAGAATTATTGGCCAGTGATCATGATGAGCATGCGCAAAGGTGTGTAGATGGTGGTAAATAAATCAGCTTGATTAGAACAAAGGGCTCTGGTTTAGGAGTGAGGAGGCGAGAGAGGGGTGAGGTTATAAAGGCAGGGCTTCAAGGGCTAGGTGAGGGATCAACGTAGACCAGCATCAGGGCCCAGCCTGTGAACAGGGTCGGGGCTCGAGGCTCAGTGTGTGACTAGAATGGAGGCTCAGTCTAGGATCACCATTAGGGATAGTTTAGAAAAAGCATCAGGGTCTGCTCTCCAGCGGAGTCAATCTGCTTGTGGCTTTTCATTTGAGAGTTGTCTTCATTTCATCATTTAGCTAATAGTTCTTTAATGTATAATTCACCCATAAATCTCTCTCAAACATATTACCTCCCCTTTGTCCCCACTACTGTGTCTCACCTGGACCACTTTAACAGACTTCTAACTTTTGCCCTGCCTCCAGACCTGCCTCCCACCACAATTGTTCCTCTATATATGGGGAATTCTCTAAAATACAGCTCTGTTCTGGCTGCCCCTGTCCCCATAGACAGCCAGAAAGTTGCTGTCTCCTGTAGCTGGGCACAACTACAAGCAGACAGAGGCCAGGTTGGCTGGAAGAATGTTAAGAAACACCTCCCAGTCCCCAGTTGCCCATTAGCATCTCTGCAGCAGCACTACGTCCTCACCTCTTTGGAGCAGATATATAAGAACAGGCTGCCTATTCTGATTGTTCCTGGGGTACAGGGACTTCCCTTGCATCCCAGTGTGGGGAAAATCTGTTCTTGCCCAATCAGTGCCTCTGGTCCCCAGCCATCCTCCTGAGGACCCCCACTTTCACCCACAATCCAGAACCGGTTGGAGCAGCACCCCTAGGGTGGGCAGGTTCAACAATCTCTGTTCCAAACTCATTTAAGGTCCCTGCTCTACTGGTCCCTTCCCCCGGGCTGCAGTTGTTCTTCAACAAAGTGACTTAGTCTCAGCCTGGGCCACATTGGGATACATACTACATGATGGCTGAGACATCCTGGCTTCAGCCTCCAGCCCTTGCAACGCTTTGCAGCCCAGTCCTGCTGCTGCCGCCAGGGTGTTATCACTGATGGGAAAGAGCTCCTTCCCAAGTAAGTGAGGCCTCTCTGATCCGCAGTGTAACACAGAAAAGACTGCTATTTAGAGGGAACTTCATTGACTTCCTGGTCAGTTGGCCTCTTGTAACTGAGCTTTGGACAGTCCTTCCCGTCCCTGGCCATCTCCATAGTATTGAACACCTTGAAGACCGGTTACTTAGTTGGAGCTCCTCCACCCCAGCTACTAACAGTCAGGGCCATTGCTTGGCGCAGGGTGTGGCCACACCCACACCGAGGCCCTCAAGCTGAAGGAGCCAAGGTTGTCCAAGTGGGCCCACAATGTCAGTGCCAACTATGGTCACCAGCTGGCTGAGGCCAGGTGGTGCCAGCCAGGGCAGTGGGGCTGGCTGGCCAAGAGGTGACAGCCTTTCTCTCTGTCCCTGGACTTAGTACAAGCAGGTGGAGCAGTACATGTCCTTCCACAAGCTCCCGCCCGACACTCGGCAGCGCATCCATGACTACTATGAGCACCGCTACCAGGGCAAGATGTTCGACGAGGAGAGCATCCTGGGCGAGCTCAGCGAGCCGCTACGGGAGGTGAGCTGGGTGGGTGGCCAGGCAGAGAGGGAGCCAGGCCTTCCGGCCTGGTGACTCCTCTCATCTCCCTCCCTCTTTCCCAATCCACCCTGTTCCGGGAGCAGGAGATTATCAACTTTAACTGCCGGAAGCTGGTGGCCTCCATGCCACTGTTTGCCAATGCAGACCCCAACTTCGTGACATCCATGCTGACTAAGCTGCGCTTCGAGGTCTTCCAGCCAGGCGACTACATCATCCGTGAAGGCACTATCGGCAAGAAGATGTACTTTATCCAGCACGGCGTGGTCAGCGTGCTCACCAAGGGCAACAAGGAGACCAAGCTGGCAGATGGCTCCTACTTTGGAGGTGAGGCAGGCAGGGGGTCCTGGGGGGACAGGGGAGTGGGCTGGAGACACACGGAGGAAAACGTTTCAGGCCCTTCGTGGCCGCTGCCTGGAGGTAGGTGTCTGTGAGCCCAGTATGGGGGTAACAGCCCGGAGATGGGAAAGATAACCCACCACCCACTTGGGG